TTTAAATTACAGAATAACGCCTCTTAATAAAAAGAACAGACCAGAAGAAGAAAAAAAGGAGACTTTTTAAAAAAAGTATTTTTACTCGAAAAAATTGTAAAATAATTTTTTTTATTTTTTATTAAGCGTTAAGGATTGTAAAGAATAAAGTGAAAATGTTCTGAAGCTATAATTAAAGAGGATAATATTTACTTTCGATATATCAGTTAACTTATAAACATTGTTAAACATTAAAAAATAAATCTTTCTGGAATTTCGAGGGAAAAAATGAAGCATACAAGAAACAAAATGAATTGCAAATTGGATGTTTATTTTTGTTGAATTAGTAAATGACTAAACATTTAAGGGGTTCATTAAGGTTAGAAGCTCCTCACTTATAACAAATTGGTTAATATTAACTTTTTGTTAAATGGGTGAAGTAAGTTGAATTGGAATTAATAAACAGTGAAAACGAAATTACTTAGTTTATAATAAAATCGATAATGCAGTCAAACCCCGCTATAGTGAACTTCCAGATATAGTGAACGAAATATTCACTCCCTTGCTAAACACATATATTATTTTTTGTGGATATAGTGAATCAAAAGAAGAAAGGATTTTTTTTGTCTGTGACCATTTTTTTTTTCTTCATGATTTTCTTCTGATTTTTTTTGTTGTTGATAATTTTAAAATATCTACATAAAATACGTATACAGATTTTTTAAACTATCTATTGAGTGAAATGTAACCATAAAGCATTTTCTTCTTGTTTACTTCTCCTATCTCATCCCTCAATAAATGCCATTTCTAAATTTTTTTTTGTACGCAAGACGAGTCATGAAAAGAAAAGTGAACACATTTTTTTGTTACTACATATTGTTCAATAATTTCTGTATTTTTTATGGGTCATTTGTCTAAATGTGTCATAAAAGGGATGGAAAAATGAGTTAAAATTGCTCGCAGTACGGATAGAGTAAACTCTCGGTTATAGCGAACCGAAATTTTGGTCCCTTGAAGGTTCATTGTAGCGGGAGTTTGACTGTAATTACTCATGCAAAATAAAAATAATCACGATTTCAACAACAAAAAAAAAAAAGCTGTAATTAATTCGACAAAATTTACTTCATGTCAATTGAAATGAATGAACAAGGCAGGGGTTTCTAAAAAAAAAAAAGGTACGTACCGGAATATCCCCTCAGTTTAAGTCCCCAAATCCATGCTAATCTGAGTGCCCTCATCCGTTCGTAAAAGTACGGGTGAAACATGCTGTTTGTGATGAAGAAATTTCCACTCAAGGAAGAACACTTGGATGGAGAGAGACAACAATTACGATTCCACCAATCACCTAGGGCGATGGGTGGTTCCCCGACGAATGATGGAAGGGTTGTGAATTTCTATTGCCTATTAAACATGGTGATGGAAAAATACAGGAATGAGATTACCCATGGAGCGAAAAGTAAATGGGAAACCGCTTCCAAAAACCTGGGTATGATTGGAAAATAAATTCATCCATATGTAAAAATGGATGAATAAAGGCTGCTTTTCCCTCTCTAATACGATTTCAATTTAATCTCCGTATTGTCTTCTTCCCGGTTTTTATAACATTTATGTTTTATTTAAGCCAGAATGTGCCGTTTTTACCAGGCACGGTTATTTACATTTTCTTAGCGGAGGCACAATTTTCGGAAGAATATAAAGTTGAAGAGCGGTATAACAGTATTTTAATACCGCGAAAACAACCATTAAATATGAAAATGATAGTTTTGCCGGAAGTTGATCGATTCTCAGTCCATATTTATTCAAAATGCTTTTTTCTCCCATGCACCCCTCAAGCATTTCAATAGTTTGTTTATTTTTTGGATTCGAGCCGGCAAATATTTGTTATTTTCCTCTTGTTTGACTTTATTAAATCCCGTCACGGGTATTTTTTGTTTTCATGAATTGCTCCCTCTCTTGTTAATTTAAACTCGGAATTTCCAATTTTATGGCGATGCAATGGTTTTATTTTTGACCTTTTATTGAGTAAGTAAAGGGGAAACACGAAAGAAGATATTTTTAAAATGTGATTTTTATCTTTTTCCTACAAAAAGCTGTAATGGTTGTTTGTGATTTTATTTTGTAAACAGTAAATTTAATATTTATGCTGAGAGCACTTCATCTCTTTAAGGTTGAGAAAATATGAAATGGAATGCATAAATTTAAAGCAAAACTAATATTTTTCTGTGTTTTTAAGGGAAAGCGAATAAAACAGTTTCATTTTTGTTGATTGCCTTTGGATAATGTGATCGTTGGATTTTTCTACAGTTTTTAAAAGACTGTTTAATGAACATGTTGTTTAACTCAATTTTAAATAAACGGTTTGAGAAGAGTTTTTTGTAGATTTTAAAACGTTTCAAAAGAAAACATATTTTTAGAATGAGAATAATTATGCTGAGAATTTATGATATTATATAATGTCAACTTTGAATACTCACTTTTTAAGCTTAACTTTTTAAACTTTCTAAACTAAACCTAACTTTTTAAACTAAACTTTTTAAGCTAAACTTTTTTAAGCTTAACTTTTTTAAACTAAACTTTTTAAACTCGACTGAGTTTCTCATAGAAAGATAAAAAATTCCTTCTTCACTAAACCTAAATAGATTCAAAAGTTATTTTCAGACTTTAAAAAGTTGCAAAAATAAAAATTTATTTTACGGAAGGAATAATTAAACTGAGAATTTTTCCAATAGATAAAGTAACTGTCAGCTTTTGAGTGTTTCTTAACTTTTTAGATTAAATTGAAAGTTTCTCACTGAAATATTTGAAAAAAATTTCAATCGTTTAAAAGTCGTTTCAATTTTTCAAAAAAACGAATCGAATAAATAATTTTGAAGTAATCCTAATTATGCTGAGATAGTTTAAAATCTTTGTAAGAGAGACCGAAAACGCACATTTAAAAATAATAATTGCTTATAACTCAGATTATATATTGTCGGTTTACGAGGGACTGAGTTGGTTGATAGTTTCATAGAAAGAGAATAAAACGACACATTATTACTAAACTTAATTTTTAAAAAAAGATGAGAAATTTTATATGTTTTGAAAAGTTTTAAGACCGAAATTATTTTTAGAATGAGTATTATTAAACTGAGAGTTTGTCCTCTGGTGTTTCATGAGACATTAAACTAATATTTTTGATATATTTTATATCATATTTTGAACTATACTTTAATTGCTCAAGTTTTGAAGGTTTCGCATAGATAAATAATTCTGAATGATATTTGATGCATGATTGCATGATAATTCTTAAAAAAAAAAAAAGGGCCAACACAAAGTGATACTTTTTAAACGTCAGTGAAGGAATACGCTATTTTTCTTCGTAAATTCCGCAACCAATGTATATACAATGGTGCAGTTCCACAATCCAACAGCAAGACAAAACTTCCAATGACAGCAGATTTTTTCCCTTCCGGTCGAGTAAAAACTGGATAAAGACGAACTTCTCGGAATGACAAATATTTGCAATATATACGATAGTTAACTCAGGATAATCCGGAAAGTGGTTAATAATCTTAAATTAAAATTGCAAATTTTATTGGAGTTCTATGGCTACACTTTTCAAAACTTTAATATGGAGTCCTACATAAAAGTCCAATCATTAGGTTAAAAGTTAAGTTTTTTTTTTCGCGCACTCTAAGTATACATGTTACGTAAGTAATGTCTATCTCACACACAACGTTGTTTTAATAATTTACTTTTTTCTAAATATTGAGAGCAATGAATGTCCGGGAAAAGTCTAACATGAAACTGCTTTAGTTCAATACAAATTTTTCTTTTAAGTAAAGGTATTGATTTCATGAAATTTTATGAATTTTTTTCCTTTCGTAAGCGTATGATTTTTAAAATGAAGTTATAAGTATTTCATAACGTATTCGGGACGAAATTCATGGAGTTTCCGAGTAAAATTATCTCTTATGAAGATTTGTTTCCTTAAGAAGAGAGTATTCACAAAACACTTTTAATGTTTAGTAAAGAAATCCTTTTCTCCCAAAGACTTTCAGACGCTTTAAAATGATTCTAAAAACATGTAGAGCAAAAAGCATAGTTTTCGTGGCATCATTCATCCTAATAAAGAATGTGTAGTATTGAAGACATGTAATATTGATAATTATTATAACTCATTTTTAAAATACACATAAAAAAATCCTAAAATTGATTGATTATTGTTCTTTTGGGACAAGTAGAATAGAAGAAAATTGCACTCATTCACGATACAGTAAAACATCGCCACAACAATAGTTTGGGGACCCAATAAATAGAGTGCTGTTGAGGGATATATCGAGGGCCTCCATACTTTTGGGGACACAATAAAATTTTTCAATTTTATATATGTATTAACTATAACTCTATTTATATATTATATAAAAATTTAATTTGCAAAGTAGTAATTATGGTTCAATATGAAATCAGATAGGGATGTTCTTAAGAGATAAGGGAGGAGGCAATTCTAAGAATGGAAAGTCTTGGGGTGTACGTCAAGGTTGTATTATTGAAATCTGAGGCCATTTACTGTGGTGAATAAGAAAAATACATAATCAGTATTTCTTGTCAGAAATGACCGAAAAAAATGGCAAAATATGTTAATAAGATTTTGTAAATAATTTGAAAACCAATAATATATGGAGATAATAAGGTTGAAATTTGAAGGAAAAAAAAAGGTTTTACAGGAGTTTATAGCTTCAGAGACTATCCCAATATTGAGAGGATGATATAACATGTAAATCATATTACTCGGGGCCACGAAACATTTTTGTAGTAGAGTGAGTTATTGTTGTATAGGATATCGTAGTAGCGAAAGTTCACTGCATAATTTATCTTAAAATTGTTTGCCACTGATAATGGAGGCATGCAGAACAAAATCCTGTAACTGGCAATGACTCATAAAGACGCCATTGAACCATGAGGCATGTAGAATAAAATGATCTTTAAAACATGTAACGATTTGAACGAGGTTATGGACTTTTCAAAAGGAAGATGCTCACCTCTCAGAGAAGGATCCTGAGGAGAACATTCCAGCATCCTCCTTCCATCACTCATGTCCGAGTGGGGAGAAGGCATCATCTCACAACAGTTGTTGTAGTGGGGTGTTGACCCACTCTGCTGACTACAAGACTGCAGAGAATTGCTGTCCTCTTCTTCCTCCAGACCACCCCCGTACCGGTGACCTTCGTCAATCACAAGAGGATGGTCATCTTCCGGTAACGGCAGAAGATGATCATCGAAGGAAAGCGGTCTCTTGACCGATTCCTGAAGTTTATTGTCCAGTTGCAGATATCTCCTGGAGACGGGACTGTAAGGGGGATAGTATTCTCCACCGTATCCCTCGTCCATCCTGCAGTAGGATTGCTGCATCTGCTGGGGGTGGATGCTGGGTTTCATTTCATGCATCTGAGGTTGTTCTCTGGAGGAGTAAGCGTCTGTTTGCATGTTGAAACCGTCTGTTCCCACCAGTGACTGGATGTTGGCACACTCTTCTACAAGGAAGAATAATCAAAATAAGTATCATCATTTGGTGATCAGCAATAGAAGCGATTCTATGTAACTATCAGGTGATACAGCTTTATTGTTCGTTATGTTTGCACTTGTTTACGTTAGCGTATCAATGGGTTAACATTGTAATGCTAAAATTAAATACGAACAGGAAGTATATAAAAAAATCTCCTGAATAACAACTCATTACATGCATGTTTAAATATGAAAGTATTGCCTATAAAGTCGTGCAAAACATGTCATTATTAAAACATTACAGCGCATCTCATAATTTGATCTATATGTTATAACATACTCATATAATATCTGATATAATAACTATTCTATATTGATATAGCATAGCGTCTAATGTTTCCAATCGTCGAATTTATATTATATATCGCTTAATTTAACCAATTAATACACGAACGTAAACAAACCGGTTTTAGAAGAGCAAAAACAATAGAGCTGTTTAGTATCACCTGATAAATAAGATTTTTCATAGAAGTTTATAGTGCGTGTACTAATTTAGCCAGGGTTTATAAGTTGGTCTCCAAAATTACGGTGCATATTTATGAGCTTATATGAATAAAAATCTAATCATTAACGTCAAGATAAACTAACCAAATGAAAGAACAGATTCAAAGGCATACGAGCAGCCAGTTAATAACTGGGAACAAGCAGGTAGGTTATAACTTTTCCATGAGGAAGTTCAGAAATTCGAAATTGTCAAATCGAAGTGAAGTTACATTTAGAACTGGTACCTAAACTTATGCTTTATAGATTTTTAAATGGATTAAATATTCAATACTGATAGATTAAATTGGTGACGTTTAAATGATCAAAACTGAGTAATGTGTCGATAAATTTAAAACAAAATTTCAGTTTCAATCTGTATCAGAAAATCTATTAAATTTTGAACAAGAAACTAAGAATACGATTTACTTACACCATATCTCTTTATAGTACAGTAAAACTAGATTTTTTTCTATCAAAAAATTAATACCCAAGATTTTTTTTTCCTCGTAGAAAGCTATTTGTTATTATAAATACTCCCCTGTTATCATGTGTATAATTTTCCGTTTTTGGGGTGATTTGAGAGGGAGCATATTTTTATTGAGAAATATTTTCGGTATATGCCTTGACTTTAATGCAACCCATTCCATGACGATCAGTACAACAGTTTAGAAGGATTTTATGTATAAAAGGTACAAATTTGTACTTGAACCTATCTGATATTGGTATCTCTAAGACGTTGTTTTCTTTGTATTCGTGTATTATACATGATTCAATAAAAAAAAAGTTTGAGTTGAAATAATTTTAATGTATTAACAATACTTTAGCACGGACTGATATATATACACTTTATATTGCTATCCGGAAACTATCTGAGCATGCAATGTAAATTATATGTTCATGTAATTGTGAGTTAAAGACGCTCGTGATTTTGCTCTAATTTACATATCTTGCTATACAGACAAGTGGGGGGTCCCATGTATTTTCTTCTGGTTTAATGGAATGAGAAAAACTCGAATCAAAAAGGCTACTATTTCAAAAGTTTAAATGACAGAAACACCTTTTTGTTGCTATAATTATAAGGACCTCATTATCGGATATATTGCAACTATTTATTATCCCGGATAAACTCTGGCAATACCTTTTGTTTAATCACGTTTTTATTCGGCCGGAAGCAAAACAAAAATTAAGAATTAATTAAAAAAATTTGTCTATATTCGATATCAAGAATGTTTAGTTAGAATAATGTTTATTGGATTTAAAGACGATATTATAGGTGCCTCGAAGTTATCACAGCCGAGGTGGTGACTTTGAGGCACAGAAACAATTTGAAAACTTTTTTTTACCATGCAGAATAAATTTCTACTTTCCCACCCACTAATTCCAATAATTTTTCCCTTCCCAATTTTTACACATCCTCCTTCCTACAAAAAAGAAAATGTTTTAATAATCAAATTAATTTTAGTTAATAAACTAAATGACTTCTCTTTCTATAAATTAACCGCTTCTCTGATTATCCCCAGTTAACTCGGGTGGTGCGTATATATTGCAACTATTTTTTATCCCGAGTATTATTTCCGATCCCCGATAAAATATCCCGAGTATTTTATCCAAATATTTTACACGGGCATAGTCGTCGATACGTTTTGTTTTATCACCTTCTTATTCGGCCGGAAGCAAAAACAAAAAATAATAATCTGCTGTGATTGGAAGTTTGTCAATTTTTGTTCGGGAGTTTTGCTATGTGGGGGGCTGCAGACGTGTTTTGTACAATTGTATTTACGATGGGGGATGAATTTACATAGGAAAAAAAAAAGAGTAAAAAAAAATGGCGTTCTCGAGTGAAAGTAAAAATAATGCAGATGATTTTTCAACTTATAAAGATGTGAACCTATACAAAGACTCATGTTTAACTTTATTTCATTTGCCCGTGATCATTTGGGATAGCAAACTAATGGTAAATTAAATATTTTTTAAGCATAAAAATATTAAAATTTCAACTTAGAACTTGTGTATCATGTTTTCTCTTTGTTCCTTGTATTTATTACTGAAATAAAAAAAAAATATTGATTTTTGCCATTTTTTTCTTCCAAAAAATGGGTAAGGGAAGCAGTTAGGAAGAAAATGTATATTGGAACCCTAAGGTAACATTCAGAAACAAATTTCTGAAGGAAAACGTGTGGAATTAGCGTTCGAGAAGGACAATATCTGTTTAAAGTAACCCACAACTGTATGTAATATGGAAAAGAGACTATTAAACTTTTTTTTTATATCGATGGGTCGAAATTTGCAACGCATTGTTAGAAATTAATTTACTGAGCAGAAATTTTAACGCATTAGTTTTAAAAAATTGTTATTTAAACTTTTTGCAGTAGGTATTAGTAAAACTAATTTAATGTCACACATCTTACCCTGCTCCAAAATCTTAATTGGAAAAATTATAAGATCTATATTTTAAATATAAAGGTAAATGAAGTATGGTGTTCCTTCTTTCCAATGAAATTTGTAGATAGTCTCATCGGTCTTTCCTCCTTAGCTATTATATTTTATAATTTTTTGCGTTTTGCTTCAAAAGTATATACATTTTTAAACATTTTTATTTGTAAAACCTTTTTATTATTCAAAAATATGAGTGTAGCCACTAAGTTAAAACTTTAGTCGTGTCAAGTTACTTTTTATTTAATTTTTTCTCTTTGTATTTCAAATATTCTTAAAAGAACTCGTTGATTTAACAAATGAAAAATTGTTTCAAGTTGAAACACTATTATTGCTATCATAAACGAGTTTTTCTTTTTTTGTATCTATTTGAAATAATTTTTGAGGTAATGTTCCCTTTTTTTTTAATTTATTTCCCCTACTTTTAGAAAAAATGAACATAAAAGTACTAAAAAACAATGATGAAAACTCCATTTTAAATTTAATCGTAAAGTGTAGCCATTGCCAGATTTGCTTTCTTTTATAACGGGATTTTTAGTAAAAATTGATTCTGTATGACACACATATCTTATTGACAGTTTTAAGTTGAAATGCATAAATAAAAAATGGGGTTATTTAAGTATGGAAACTAAAAAAAAAAAAAAAATCATGGGCGAATGTCCCATGCAACCAAAGGAATGAACGTTGGTGTCGATTCAATGCAATAACAAAAAACTCTCCTTTGAAAGTGAATTTAATTTTCAAAATGATTTTTAGTAAATGGATAAGAATTATATTAGTTTTCTGTTTTAAATTGAAATGGAAACTCTAATCATCCTTCAATTCCTTGCTGAAAAATTTCACTACCAAACCTTTTGTAAATTTTTGATATGTATAAGCTATATTTTAAGCATCCTTCCTCTCCTGAAAAATCCAATTTACGCTTATTTAATGCTAATTCAGCAACAATTTCTTTTTAACGATACATTCGCCCCCTAGTCTTGGATATAATTGGAATCAATCCACTTCTAACAATACTAAAATCGCTGAATATTGTCTGTTGAATCTCTAGGTCTGAATATTTAGAACTGAATATTGAGCTTTGAATCCCTGAGTTACTTGTACAATTTTTTTTTTATAATAAATATTTTCAAATAAAATAAAATGTTCGAACAAAATTCGAGGCAAGATGACATGTGAATTTTTTTGTAAGGGACAGTAAAAATTATTTTTATTTATGTGCAAAAAAAAAAAAAAAAAAANAAAAAAAAAAAAAAAAAAAAAAAAAAAAAAAAAAAAAAAAAAAAAAAAAAACTAAGAATGATTAGAATTGTTGTAAAACAATTGTTATATTTCTCTCCCATCTTCGATTGCTTTACTCATTTCAGATTAGTATTAAAATTAATGTGTCTTCACCTTATTGTAACTTTCGAAACGTGTAAAAAACTTGTGTATAGCTGACAACAGTTTGAATGAAAATTTGTATGAAAAATTCCTTTTAATTTCGTTATTTGGTTTAAGTTTATATTTTGTTACTTAATTTTAATTTCGCGAGGAGTAAAAAGAAATGTCGAGAACTAAATTATTGTAAAGGTTGAATATTATAAAAAGAACATTTTAATGATATTAACTTTTATTAAAATATTTTGATATCTATTGAAATATTTTTTTTCGTCATAGGATAATCTCTTTCAGATTTTGTTTCGTTCGCTCTCTCTACTGCACCTGACTTTGATTTCAACTCCAATTGATTGCTTTACATTGATGTATGTAATAATATTTGCATTTAGAGCAGTACTTTCAACTCTTGTAATAGTTAGTACTTTTAGCCAAATCATGATTTTCGAAATATGGATATAGGAGAATGAAAGAATATATTGTGAGATTTGTATGACGCTCTTTTTTTAAATTATCGCAAATACATAATTTCCAGAAAATATTGATAAATTGTCTTAAAATTTGAAATATTGAATTTAAAAAAAAAGTAACTTGTTTGTTGCTTTTAAAGTGATTGCCTTTTTAGAAAAAAAAATCATTTGTGACTTATGTAGTGATTGTAAGAAAAAATTTAATATGTTTCTTCAAATCAAAATTTTTGAGCTATTGCCGTTGTTTAAACTCAAATTTAAAAGTTTATGTCCAAATTACTAAAACAGTTACTTTTAAACTTTATCTTAAAGAAAAATTTCTTCGCAAACCAATCTCAGTGATATTAATACTGACTTTAAAATAATTTATTTTATTTTATGTATTTAATAACTTAATTTTTAAATAACTCAATTATTTTAATTTTATATTATGTGTGACGTTAAAGTACATAAATAATGTATGTGGTATAAGTAATTTACTGTATTTTTCTACTAAGAACTTACAAAAATTTAATTGTACCCATTTTTCTACCGAAACCTCTATCCCAAATTTTTTTGCAGTTTTCGTGAGATTCGAGATAAACAGGTCCGACTGTGCATAAAATGTAATGTATGTACATATAATTTAAATATTATGGAAAACTTAAAAATTTAACGTTAAAAGGTACATATATCAATTATAAAAATTCTAAAATATTTTTGTTAATGATTTTTGTTTAAAGATATCAAACAAATTCTCTTTACCTCATCACTAGAAAGACTAAAATTTAGTGTCTAAAAGCATTGTGAAAAGAATAACTAATGTGTAAACAGATTAGTTTAAAATTAATTTTTAATATTTTTATATTATGTACAGTTGTATAATAAGTTATTAGTAAATACTAATAATAAAAAAAAATGTTGTAGAAAAAGTCACAGAATTCTAAGAAATTGTGTCATCATTGTTTTTTTCTAATTGAAATTAAAAAGCAGTCAAAATGACTTCCTTGGGCATTTTTAATAGAATGGAAATGGATTGTTTCTAATTACTTTAAAAACTTCATTTTCAATAACAAGGGAAATTTAAATAACAGTACAATTCAAGTTTTTCTGAAATTAATCCATACATTAAGATCAAAAAAATTTTGTAATTCCCCCCATAAACAACGCTAACAATAATTATGCAATCTTTGGTAAAAAAATCTGTTATCTAATAAGGAGTTAAATAATAGTAAAAATTTTAAGCTTAGTAATTTAAATATTATCATTAAAATTTTTTTAGCTGTATATAAGAGTTTAAAATTAATAATATGCAATTCTAAATTATCAGTCTAAAATTTCCTATTAAATTTAGAACTTGTGGGTCTAATACTTACTTGACCAAGCTCTCTAACTACTTAAATAAAATTGTTTAAAAATATTACTTAAGAAGGCTTTTCTTGAATTATCACTAATAATCAACTGATTTTAGAATTTATTACATTAAATAAAATTAATTATATTCCTTTGATTTCAAAGATATCCTCAATAGCATTTCCCTTTTTAAACTAAAGGATGTTCTTTTGAGTTATTACGATGATTATAAAAATATCCTTAATTATGATTTTGGTTATTGGGGTTATTTTTGATTTGTTATTGTTAAGTAAAAATTAATATTTGTCTTTTTAAAATAATCTTTACAATGGAAAACATATTTTTTGATCAAAAGGAAGAAACACAATTTTTCATTTCTCTAAGCTGATTTTTACACTTATCAAAAAAATTATTCTCTTAATATTAACTTTGTTTTAAGATTTATTGATTATTTAATTATCGTTAATTTTTAAAATTATGCAATTTTGTTAAATAATATTTACCCAGAAAATTTAATCTTGCCTCGTAATCATGACGATAATATTAATTTTAATTTTTTGGATTTAAGTATTAAAAAAGAAAATATCTGCATTGTTTATTTATGCTATAAAAGAAATGATTTTAAGTTTAATCTAAATAAACTAATAACTTGAAGTTCTTATGTTTCTAAAAACATTTATTTAAATATCATTTTAATCAAATGAATAGAATTAAAAGAATATTGCTGATTCATAAAACAAATAGGCAAATTTCTCCAAAATTTGATGATTAAAAAAAAATTTAAAAAAATAAATGTAAACCAAACTAATAAATTTACTAAAAATTTCTTTTTGAACTAAATGAATATTTTTGTCATGTGCAAATCCACTTTGGGCAAATGCGTGGCTAAAAATTTTACAAGGAAATTTTTAATTGTTAATTTCTCTAAAATCAGTAAAATTGTTTAATTAAAATTCAACCTTATTAATTATGAACTTTGAATTATCCAGTATATTACCTTGCGCACATCCAGTTTCGGGCCAATCCAAGTCAAACTAACAAATCAAACGCGCTTCAGTACTTCAGTCAGAACGTGACATAAAATGATCCCTCTATCCATCATTTACGCTTCTATTTAATGTTTTGTAATCTGGCAAACTTGTTGCGGTAATATTTTATATCATTTTCGAAAGATGCCGTTAAGTGCAAATTCATTTGAATTCACTACTCACTTTATAGACTACATTTTGTATTTCATTCTGTACTTTTTTGTATTTAATTTTGTATTTTTTTCTTAATCTGCTTTATTTTGCATTTTTTACTTAATATGTTCAATTTTCGTTTAAATTTGTTTGGGTGCTCCTCAATCTATAGAATTAATATATTTTGTTTTGGCTAAATTAATACAATGTTAGAAAGCACTTTTTTTACTGATATAACTGAGTAAGCTGATGACGAGAATATACCTTTTCATTATTTGGTCCATTGGCTTTTTAATTTTTAGATAAAATATTAAAAATATTTTTTAAAATATTTTAATTTATTTTATTATTTTTTCTTTTTTGTCACTAGCTTATAAGGTTCCTATTTGTCATGAGAAAATACGATCAATGTCAATGAGATATTAAAAACGTACTGAATATTTAATAAAAGTGTAAGAGTATGAAAGATTTTCTTTTTTGTTTTTGTTTTTTCTTCCAGTATACAAGATTTGTGGAGACAAAAGAGAGAGAATTACAAATGATTTCTAAGCAGTACTGAAACTTTTACTGCTGCCATCTGTTGGTATATATATATATAAAACAAATACTAAAATTTTTAAAAATAATAATAAAACTACTTGTTAAAAAGAATTAGCTTTTTTGTATTACTGACCCAAAATAAATGTAGTTAAAGAACAATTCAAATCCAAAACAATTACAATTGACAAATTCAATTAACAAATTAACGCAGAAAAATATTTATGCAGATAAAAGATTCTTTTTCTGATAGGTACCAGGGGGAAAAAAAAAGAAAAGAATAAGTAAACTTTAAGAAAAAAAGTGGCAGAGCATTTAGGAATTGGGATTAATGAGTGTGGATATGGTTTATTTTTCAGAAATTTATACAACTTAAAAGAAAGTTAATAAAATATGTTCGCAATATTTTATTTTAACATTTTTTAAAAGTGTAAGTTACTTAAATAGACTCTGTAAATAGGTAATGTTTACTCTTTTAAATAATTTTCATGTGCTTAATTGATGCTTGGTAATACAGTTAAGAACGTCTAGAAGAATACAAATTAAAAATTTCAATAATTTGTTAATAGATGGCAGCACCTCTTGCTCCTTGCGAAAGTTTTTGCAAATAAAGTTTTTACTTATTATTATTTTTCTTTTTTTGTGTGAAATCAACGCCAACTAAGAGCATTTTTTTCATCAGATATAGAGTTAATGCTTATTATTTACCACAAACAATGTTTTTTAACTGTGAAATAAAATCTTACGTGAAAATTATACTAAATTTCATAAAAATTTTTGCTTAGGAAATAGATGACCGATTAGATTGTTAATTACAATTTATTAGTTTAATTTTTTCAATTAATTTGATAATACAGTAATAATTATTTTAGCTACAGAGTTTAACTAGTGAATATATTTATCATAAATGTTGCGTTGATTGTTCATCTAACTAAACCAAATTATATAAGGGGGAGAGGGTAATGTGCAGAGAATCCAAGGCTAAATTGTTCGTCTTATTGAATCAAGATATTCATTGTTTAGTTGTATACATCATTTCCGAACATTTATCGTACTATTTTGTTTTTTCTCTAGAAAAAGTCAACCTGGTTTTGCCCCATATTAAGATTGTACTCCTAAATTCCTCATGCCTGCTTATGAAATTTGAGCAAGTTATGACCATATTAAAGGTTTTATTTTATTATCGTCATTGAACAGCGGACCCAATGTTCGTAACCTTGAACCCAATCCAAAAGACAAGAAGGAAACTCTGGGATCAAGTAGTGGGAGACCTTCGTCTTTTTGATGGAACTAACGTTACACGGAGAGGAAGACCACGATAAGCCTGAGGACTCCACCACTGAGGATATTTCGGGGACCCGGTTCACCTCATCCATAGCGGAGAGTTTTATTTATTTTTTGACTCTCCTTGGTTTAGCATGTGTTGGTGTATTCACTAAAAAGTGCTGCTTGAATTACACTCAAACTTTCGATCCATTATATGAATATTGGGCCCTACATTCAATGCAATGAATGGTGGTGCATCATTTAAATGAAATCTTTTGACTTTACTGAGAATGTAGAGAAGAATATTTGATATACAGTCCCTTATTAGACGCATCTTCTATGTAAAATCTTAACAGTGTTTTTTACGAGACTGAAACCGGTTTGCACTTGCTCTACGTTCTTGTATGAATTGGTTAACATTGCAATGCAATAGGTTAAAAATAAATGCCAATAGGAATGTAGCTTTTCAAAATTTGGTTTAATTATTATTATATAATACGCGATTTAATAAATATTCTATATTTATAAAACTTATCGTCTCATTTAACCCATGGATACACGAATGTAAACAAGTACAAACAGCTGCATAGTATATTTTATAGGGTGTCTAATGACATTGTTTGGAGCTTAGAACAAGATAGATTATGATGATTACCTTCAATTTTGAGTAAACTAGCTACGTCGTAAGGCTCTGTTTCATTGACGACATTGTCCATACTCCTGCTATCCTCTTGCGTCGTCTGAGAGGAGGGTAGGGGTGTGAACTCGTCGAATACCTCGTCGGCCGAGCTGAATTGACTGGTGCAGCTCTGAGGTTTGGCATCGACCGACGTGGGAACATTGAAATTCGTTTCTGGAGAACTGACAGGCGTCTGTGGTTGAGTGTAATGGTGGTTTCTGAGAGGTGAATATTCCTCCTCTTTGGGCTGTTGGTACAGGGTCGTCTCCATATCGTCCCTTCTCTCTTCTTTGATCACGTGGTTGACCACCGGCGAGAGAATGGGCGATCTGAGGGGTGACCGCTCACTGCTGCAACAAGAACTGGACGACGCGCTCAGCGTGACCACATCTTTCCAGGAGTTGGTCACCACCTCGGCCGTCTTGGGTATCACTTCTTCCTTCTTCTCGAAGAGGTTTTCAAAGAAAGGTCTTTCCGTTGGCACGTCTTCGGAGAAAATGTCCATGCCGGTGTCCGGTTCGAAATCGCCGGATAGTGATCGGAGTGCTGCTTCTGCTTCCCGGATTCGCCTCGTGTCTTCGTCAATGTCTCGTTCTTCTTCTCGTATCACAGCATCCATTGCCTCCTCAACCACTCTCTGAACAATCTGATTCTCCTCTTCCGGTTCACGAACATCGAAGTGATGCTTCTTCTGATCTCTGTTGCTGTGGGAATTCTTTTCGGTGGAAGAAAGCTTTCGTTTGCTCAATTGGCATCCGGAGTTGGACCTGAAATGACCTTCTTTCAGTTTCTTTTTTTGAAAACAAAATTTTGAATTTTTTGGAAGAAAATACGAATTCAGGACAATCATTCCAATAGTTTATAGAATTGAATGCATTCAAATATTAAGGTTTTCTTATACAGGGTGCGTAGCCAAATCTTTCGACAAAAAATAAGCACCTTTTTAAGTACTTTTTAAGCATTCTATACATTGCAAAATGCAAAATAATTTTCAGACTTTGCAGGATCTTGATAAAAATAACTAGTTTCTGACAAAGAACTCTTTTCGTGATTATATTAGCCATTATAAAATGATCGAGAGATTTTTCAGTTCGATATCAGAGTGTGGAAAAGGAAGCCTGAAATTGACAATATCTTGCAAAACGCATCAGAGTTGCACATGAGATTGCTGTAATCTCAACAAACAAAGCTCAGTAGACGCTCATGCGGAAACGCTAGTATTTCATCAAGCATGTAAAATGATGGGCGCTTTTCATACGCTATGGACCGACGGTAATCCGAAATGAATTTTGAAAACGTTGAATAGAACAATGTAAAAAACGAGCTTTTGCATACTATCGTCATAGTAAAGAAAAAAAAATCTCATTTTCGAAAAGGGAATATGAAGCACTTTTTAAAAACACTCTTTGAGAAAAAGCACTTTTAAGGGCTTTTAAAAAGCGAAATATTAAAATAATCACCTTTACGACTTTTTTAAAAGTGCTACGTACCATGTTTATAACATCCTTAATAATTTTCCCTTAAACTTTTTTTTTCTGCATTCGGGAGAAGAATCATACATTAAGAGGACGGATGTCAAATGAAGTTTAAAAAATAACTTCTTCAGTTTCGAAACAAATAATTAAAATAATATTTCTAATAGATGGAATCTCTCACAAAAACGAGAAATTACTCTATCGCACTCTTCGTTCATGCGGGGCTTAACTTTTTGCTCTTTTTATTAATTTTTGTTTTTGCAATTTCAGATGATCAAATACTACAGAAGACATTTTATAAATCAATATTTTTGCCTTAAGAGGAAGAAAATTTTTGTCTTTTTTTTCCCTTCATTACTTATTCTAGAATAAGTGAGTTCAGACACACCTGGAGGAAGCCATGAAATTTCAAATACTGAAAAAAAAATTTAAAAAATGTGCAAATTAAGAAAATTTGTGCATTTTAAAACATTTTTATATTTTAAAGTATTTTTTTCAACAATTGAAATTTCATGACACATTCCAGGTTTGACTGAATTTACTTTTTCCTTCTTTTTAAATTAGTTATGAAGGAGAATTTGAGAGGAAAATTTTCTGAAACAAAATTCATCTCTAATGAAGACTCAATGCAAGAAATACAAGGTTAAGAAAGATTAAGAGAACCTTAAAGCAAGGTTTTTCTCAATTATAATGCAATCGTTGAATGTTATACAACCAAGATTTTAGAAACACTTTTATCTCAGCGTCTTTTATCACATAATTTGAGTTATTGTTTTTAAAATATTCTCTCTAATTAAAATCTTTTTTACAATTTGGGCCTTTGTTTTTAAGAAAGCATCTTATTGTAAAATGTCTGTACTCACGCTCGAAGCTTATTCACCTTTCTTGGCATGTGATGCGATGAGCTATTCCATTATTCTCGTCTGAAATAAATGAATAAAACAGTATTTTTAAAGATTTATAAACACTAAACATACCAACACTTAATCTATTTCTACCATAGCTGGTCAAATGATAGGACTTTGTTTCTTGATTGAATGTATGAAATACGGATGTTAGGAAGGAAATAAAATTTAAAAAAAAACTTTATTATAATGAAACGAAATTGTATATTGCCAATTTTTATGTATTACAAATACAAAGAATTTTTAATTCATTGTTCAGCGCATTTTTTACATATACAAGGGGTTTCCATTGTACATTTTCCGCAAACATATTTCTTCTAATGATTATTATTTCCATAATTCGAATAGTTATTCTTATAATCACAAGAATATATAAGAATTATAATTGTCACTTTTTCTGACACAAAAATGCCAATCCAAAATGTTAGATAATTTCTCAAAATTTGAATACACAGCTATTGAACTAAATACGCAACAGTCTTCGCAGAAAAGTGCAATTCATAGAATGCAATACATTGAACACTCATGACATCGTCATTTCTGATCCTTATAAAGCAATAAATTGTTCTCCCGGTCAAATGACCCGTTATGATAGAAATAGGTATACGACAAGTATTCGAAACAAAAAAAAAATACAAAAAAAATAAAATAAAATAATGGAATATTAACTGTATATGATTGTTATAAAAAGTCTTGGAGTGAAATGTACAAAAACGATGCAAAAGTTCTTGTACGGTCATTTGACCGGTTATGGGGCATGTTTAGTGTTAAAACCTGATATTATTTCACGAGACTGAATTATGCCACACATCATTTTGATATGATTTTTATAAGTGTGCTCAAAATATAAAAAGCTTTAAATAAAATATAAATTTGATTTTTTTGGAAGGTGTAAAAATAGTTCTTTTCGAAAATTTTATGATCTAATCCAAATGAGTATGGCTAAAATAAAAACCGTGATAAATATTTTTTCGAACGTCTAATTTTAACTTTTGATCTGGGACTTTAAATTATCATTTAATAGAACAAAAATAGTTGATTTTAGATATAAAATGAATAGAGCAAAACTAAAATTATATCAGAATAGATAATTTATGCTAAACGTCTCATTTAATCTTTTGGTCAAAAAAAAAAAAAAAATCTTTATTTATCGTATTGTAGCAAATTGATTCGATTGTAAAGAAGCAAAGGATGACAGGAACTCATTTTAATTTCTTATTTCATTATAGAAAAATGCTAGATTCACATTTGTAATGAGTCTTAGAAAGTGGGTTGAAATAAACAACATTTTCTGAAACTTTTATCCAATGAGAACTAAAGCAATTTATAAAGTGATTTTATAATAAAACTGCATTACATTTTAAAATCAGTTGAAACAAACTGTTTTTCGGTTGTATAAAATTATTGCATAAATATTTCTTTTATAAAGAGGAAGGGAATAAAGTCTCCCCTTTAAAAAACCTTTTCAAAATGTATGTTAAAAGTTTAAATAGTTTTTAAAGTTGGGGACGCAAATTCTTTATGAGAGTCTTTGTTTAACACAACAAATTATTTCAATTTTTTTTAAAAAAAAATGTGGTTTTTTTTATATTAATGTTTTGTGCATTTAATATAGAGGGAGCTGGTTGAAGAAAAACAATTTTACCAAACAGCTTCATTTTATTAGTTCTCGAAAAACAGCCGCAACGTATACTTTAATGAAGGTTCAGATTAATGTCTACTGAAAGAAAAGAAATGGTCAAAATAAGCCGAATGATAATTTACTTCGAGATGAAAAGAACTGCTAGAAACGTTAACGATGGCTATTATGAAAACATATTAAGGAATTTGGTTATTTTGATTTGAAAAGGGCTGTAGAAAATACTATGTTCTTTTAATAATTTGTTCAATATATTGTTATTTGAAATATAATTCTTTGCTCTGCTATAATGCTATTTCCATTTCATTGGTATTTTACTTGAAATAATTTCATAAAAGCAACCGAAAGATTAAATACATCAGGAATTATAGGTTGACTCTAAATGTAATCAAAGGTATAAAAACTTGAAAAATAAAATAAAAATACTAACTGACGGAACCCCTTTCATTCTACCACTGAACCCCAGGGTTCCGCTGGAGCATCATTTGGGTGTTAAAGTATTGAGTAAAGATAGCCGAACTAAATGTGTAGGTCAGATACAGACAATTTTCAGAAATCAGGAAAGTTCATTAATTACATTTTAAATTTGAGTTAATGAAACAGAAAATATATATATTGCTACTACCGTAAAATAAATAGTGCAATAATTTCTTGCAACATCGTTTTTTTTTTCTTTTTCGAAGATTCACAGAAAAAAACACACACAAAAAAATTTTAAAATACGATTCCTTACGAAACGAAGAAAATTGCGATCGCCGCTAGGTGATCACAGTTTACCCTTTGGTAAAATGGTTGTCTAATTTATTTATTTTCTTTTTTTTTTGGAAAAGAAACTTATTGTGTCTTTACATCTTGGATATCTTTAATTGTTAATCCTGAACAACTCGGTATACAATTTCGCAGACATATTTAAATGCAGCTCAGACGCATTCTGTGTCAATTCTTTTGATGACTGAATAGACATTGAAGAGCCAATCGAGACCAACATTTCAGATTCACAAGTTCATACATAAATTTTTTTGCATAAATAGTGACTGAATCATTTATATTGCGTGGAAGACAGTCTGCGTTCTTGTGCAAGTCATTGGGTACGTTGACAATGGATCCTTTTGTTCCTAAGTGGTGATCAACACCCAGTTCTCGTATTTGCATGAAAGGGGTTCGGAGAGCCACTTCGGTAGGATTCAATTCTCTCAACCACTTTTGTGACGGATGGATTTCATGGTTGCGCTTGCGAACGGAATCCCTTCGTTTTTCCGTTTGCGTGTGACGCTTAAGGTATTCCCGTCTACGTTGATTCTTAATTAAAACAATAAAAATAAAAATATCGCTCTAATGATGAAATTCTCTTTTATTCACAACTCAAGAAGTATTGATGGTATCTATCTGGTCCTATATCTCAAAAATAAACTCACCCACTTAATGCATAACGAAATTAAAAGTGAATTCTAAAAAAATTAGGAAACCGTAGCTGTCGCCACAGCAACGCATGCGCACTGTTTACTATTACTCTTGATTATTGTAGTTGAAAAGTGAGGACGTCATGAAATCCAAACCAATACCCATTTTACCACTGGGTAAAAAAAAAAAAAAATCCCCCTTTTAGGCTCTCATAAACTAAGTAGAATGGCTCAACAGTAAAGCCGTAAATTCCTAAGTTGATGATTTAGCAAACGATATGGAAGAAGAGATACACACCTGAATAAAAATTAATTTGAATTATATGAAATACTGATTCTATATAAACATAAATAAACATTTCAGCTATTTTTAAATCTATCTGAAAGCAAAATAATTTGAGTAAAAATAAAATAATAAAATAACAAAGGATAAAATATAGTGTTAAAAGAATGATTAGCGTTTTAGTTCTTACGATAGATAACTGAAATAGTTATATAATTAAACCTTTTCTTGGTTTATTATTTTAACTTCAATAAAAGATAAATGCTTAAATATATATATATATATATATATATAATTTTCTCCATATCCCTGTACCCATGGTAGGGGAGAGTGGGGTCAATTGTAACATTTTTTATTCAACAATTTTTAACTAACAAAAAGTCCAATATATTATTAGTATTTATTGACAGACGTGTAAAGTAGACTATCCTCTACTAGAAGAAAATATCAATATCAGAAAGCACTCTGTTTTGCGGATATAATCGTGTGGGCTGAAGAAAAGATTATATCTTTTTTTTCCGGTTTTTTTTCCGGTTTTTTAATTAACATTTCATTTTTTTTAATAAAATGTTGTTTGTTATTTTTTTACTTATTATTTCCCACCCCCTTTTTTCATATGTCTATAATTTTTCTTTGTTTTATTC